GATTCTTTTTCTGATGATAAGTATGAAAATAGGCCCGCTAGCAGCGCAAAACACAGCTTGTATCTTCTGCTTTGGAGTTTAGATTGCCAAGCATAGCAACGTAGAACTTGCATTGGCTCCCGGCGCACTTGAGATGCCATGTAAAGATTTTGTTTCTTGCTGACTTCGTGGTGCCATATCTTCCATCCCGAAAGCCACATTCGCAACACGTGGGTCATTTAGCGACCAAGTCTGCAGGTTCCCGAGCATGCTCTTTTTGGGCTCCGGCATGCTGGAATGTCCTACCCGTGGAAATGAGAGCAGCGATGAGCTACTTCAGTCGAAATGTTTCGCCGTGGTGAAAAGATAGCATGGCTCTCAAGCCCTGGCGGTGATGTGGGTGGCTGACTCCACTTTGGCGACCTCCCTCAAGGCACAGACACTCCATCCTCGTTGTCATCCTCTTCCATCAAAGGTGTGTGTCCTCTTCTTCTTCTTCCTCCTCCTCCGCTACTGCTTGATTGACAAACACCTAGAGGACCAATGAAACGGTGCTTGTTGTCGGGCAGAATAGACAGGTTAGGAACCTCCTCTTGGGACTAGAAATATTTTTGGGGATTAAAACATTTGCCCTGGACTAGAACCTACAAGCTTCTCTTGGGGCGAGTACCTTTTTGTGGACTCTTAACATTTTCTGGAGATGACTACCTTCTGCCTGGACTACAACCTTCTGATTCTGCACTAGGATGACAAAGCTCTCTTGAGAAAACCAACTTCTCTTGGGTCTAGAATCAGGGGTCGGCAATCTTTCAGAGCCATTTCGACCCGGTTTCCGCGGAAAAGATAACACTGGGAGCCGCAAACACTTTTTGACATTCCGAAGCGACAACAGAGCTGCAAAGTAAGGCTGAAAGAGCCACATGCGGCTCCGGAGCCGCCGGTTGCTGACCCCTGACTACAACCTTTTCTTAGGACTATATCATGTGCTTGTAAAATATGTTTAAAAAAAAAAGAAAAAAAAGTGTCTCAAAGTTAAACCAAAGGCTTTATATCCAAATCTCTCCACATGTATTTAGTACAACTGGACATCCTGAACATCCTCCATTACAAGCTTCTCACGGGACTAGAACTTGTGGGACTACAATGTTCTCTCTGAACTAAAGCAGCGCTTCTTGCGAGGGCGAACAGAAAGCACATGACAGATGATCGTACCCCCATCAAGGTTTTCATCCCACCTGCCAGTGAGGGTTGTCGTCGTCGTCGTCGTCCCTGCAGACGCCTTCGCCTCCCCCCACCAGTCCATTGGTACTCGGCCTCTTGTTTTTCTTCTTCTGGTCTTCGTCGTCTTCTTGGCGGTCTTGAGGCCGGTCGTCAGGGTGGTTGTCGCCCGCCACGTCCAGGGTGGGGTTGTCATGGCAACCGTTCTCCACAAATCGAAGCTCCTCGCCGCGGAACTTGGCAACGGAAACAAAGTAACGGGTCAGCGAGCCAAATATTTGTTTTAGAGCTTGTACTCACAGTATTTATTCTCATTGATTTGCCGGCCGCGCGTGGTAGTCTTATGTTCGTCTCACGGTGGTCTTGGCGGTAGGGGGCCGTCTTTTCCAGCAGATGTAGATGAAGCCTGATGTGATGATGGCCAGGCAGATGGAGCCAATGACCACCAGGACCACAAACAGTTTGCTGTAGTCGCTACGCTGGGATGGACTGCGGCGTGGTGGGCACGTCGAAGGGGCGCTGTAGTCCTGGATGCCCACCTGAACGGGCGGGAGGACAGTGGGGGGGTTAGCGCGTGGCTTAGCACAAACACACTACAAGGTCGGGAGAATGTTCTGGAAAAGTCACCTTGTTTAAACTTAAACGCATTTCTCCCAGCAGGTTGAGCAGTTCCTTAGTGGACATTACACCTGGAAGGTATACAGTACACACGAACACACACGCACACGCATGCAAATGAAATTGAATGAACCAACATGGCTGATACAGCAAATCGCAAGACTCCTGATTCTATAAATGCTTTGGGGCCATACGTTGCGTTGCCCACCCCAGTACACACGAACACACACGCACACGCATGCAAATGGAATTGAATGAACCAACAGGAAAAATGGCTGATACAGCAAATTGCAAGACTCCTGATTCTATAAATGCTTTGGGGCCATACGTTGCCCACCCCTGGCCTGAAACCAACTGAGCTTGCAGACAATCATGAGCATCATGTTTCTTCTTCTGTAACAGACACATCGACACACATTTATGCTACTGGCTTCTGTGGCACACTTTTCAAATTATTATTTGGAACAAAAATGATGATTTCTTTTTTTATTCTTTGGTGTGTGAGTCCAAATTTGAGGTATGTGTGAATTCAGAGAGCCACCACTTCAATAAACAGAAAAAAAAAAACAATGGAGCAATTAAGGTACTGTGATAACCTCACAAATTGTGCAAGGAGTGCCACAGTTATCGGTGACGAGACAAACACTTTCAAATCCAAAATGAGAACATAAGCAAGGAGCTGCTGTAGGCCACAACTCACAACGTGAAGCTCACAAGCAGGCTAACTGACTGACCTGTCACTCACCAGGCCACACCCCTTCCAGGCACAACTCCAAAATGCGACTACAACAGTGCGTACTGTGATTGCACTTTATAAACCTCTTTTGTGTGTGCATACCATGCTCAGACGCCACGTGCATCAGCATCTGTCGCTGTTGGTGCGTGGGCTTGCTGAGGTAAATTACCCAAGATCCCTCGGGGCTTTTCAAGCGGCGTGCAAACCGGCGCTCCATTGTTTTCAGCAAGTGCATACCGCCATCACTGCGGAACTCTTCCTGCGCATCTCACACACACACACACACACACACACACACGTACAAACACAACGGTGCCAATGGATACCGTATCTTTGTGTGTGCTTTTGTGTGTATGTGCATAAGTATGTGTGCGAGTGTGGGTGCACTGACTTAGGCGGTTTTGTTTTTTGAACTTACGCAGTTGAGATTGTGTGTCATGTTGAGGATGACGTAGCCATGTCCACTTGGCTGTGTCCAGTCCACGCACACCACCTGACAGACGGACGCGCAAACATCGGAAAAGAGGCAAAATGGCAGATGTCGTGAGAGGGTTTTTTTTTTTTTTGTTTTTGTGAGTCTACTTATGACATCGACCAAATTTCTTGTTGCTCAGTCAAACTGGGTTGAGGGCAGACTTTTGAAAACATTCTGACATGATAAGTTTGTTTTTGAAGAATTCCAAGAAATGACAAAATTGAAACCCCGAACGGACCACTTCAAACCAAAATGGCAGACTTTTCAGACATGACTTCTTGAGACTTTTGTAGGTCAAGTCATGCTAGACACGGTGACCAAATTTCCATGCTGCGAAGTCAAACGGGCAAAGGGGGCTTCATTTTTAAGTCATCGCTGTTGACTTTATTTTTAAAAAAATGTTTTTACGTTTAAAAACCATACATGTGCCTCCTGAGGGGCCGTGGTCATCCAGTTCCAGCTGGTCTCAGATAAGCCCCCATTGGGCGAAACATCTGAGGTGGACGTGGCCCCGGTTTCTTTTCCTTCCTTCTCTTTCTCTTCCTCCTCTTTGGGCTGCCGAGGCGGTATGCTGGTGGCCATGTCGATGCGTGCCACAGTGGCATTGCGGGTAAAATCTGGAAGAAGAACTCAAAAGTCAACCAAAGAAATCTGACTGAGACAACCTGTTGCTTTACCTTTGGCCGCCAGCAGTCCAAAGTCGGTACCTGTGCCGGTGCTCGTCCCAGGGGCCACTGTGGTCGTGGCAATGTTCGAAGACGCCACGCCTGTCGTCGTCGTCGTCGATGCCGATGCGGAAGAGTCAAGAATGCCAAAAGTCGTGGCAATGTTCGAAGACGCCACGCCTGTCGTCATCGTCGTCGTCGTTGTCGTCGATGCCGATACGGAAGAGTCAAGAATGCCAAACCCGCTGAAGTGACCGCCTTCATCAAGCTCCGCCTCCAAAGCCTCAAACAACACAAGTAGACGTTGAAACCGCAACACAAAACATCAATAGTATGACAGTACAAACAAAACAGTAAGTCCAGCACTATGGCATTCATCTTGTCTTCTTTGTACAAGTTTTAAGTTTCTTTTGTTCAACAGTTGTCTGAACAAAAAAAAAACTTAAAAATTAGCAACAAAACCAATAGCAAACGGCAACAAAACAAAATGGCAACAATAATCACAGAGCAATTAAGAAATAAACAACACAACAAACAATATCAAACAGCAACTCCAATATTTACTGAGTATTAGTTTGTTGGCAGCAAATGTTTAGCACCGGCATTAGCTATTTAGCTTGTTGGTTCATTTCAGTTATTTCGATTTACTTTCAGTCACGTAGTGACATTTCGTTATTTGGTGTGAGCTACCTGGCTCTTAGTTTCAAAGTTAGTCAATGACTGATTACCTGGTGAGGCCCCGTCTCCTCGGGGAGGTCTGGGGGTGCTGAGGGAGGAGCGTACCCTGTCGACATGTCATCGTCACACGTTTGGGTTGTTCTTCCAAATGTCAGACACTTCATTAGGTACACATGACTGGAAAGGCAACCAGTCTGTTGTTTGTCTCTATGTTTCATTGACTGGTGACTGATGTATCATTTGTCTCTATGTGACCGCTCATAAACTGGTGAGCAGTATATGTTTTTGTGATCGCTGCCATTGGCTGGCCTCCAATTCAAAGTCATCTGGGATCAACTCCAGACTCCCAACCAAATGAGGGCAAGCAAAACTGGTGAGCATTCTGTCAGTGTACCCAATGAAGCGACCGCATGTCCACCGACCAATCATAGTATCGAGGTCCAGCGTGCCATGCATCCTCTTGACCACGTGATGCTTCTCGAGCCGTCTGAATAACCCCGAGGCCTCCTCCAGGGATGCCTCGGCATCCCCGCCAAGCAGCACCCTCTTTGGGTCCTCCTGAGGAAAAACGACAGCACGCTGGGTCAAATAAGACAGTCGGGTTGAGTGGTTGTCAGTCTTCCTCCTCTCACCAGGTTCCAGGGCTTGGGCACAAAGGACTCGGAGAGCGGCAGCGCTAAACAATGGGGGAAAGGGGAAAAAAAAAAAAAAAAAAACAACAACTTCAATGTTAGACATCCATCAAGGCTCGATTCCCCAAAAATCTTGCAGACTACTTCCTCCCACACACTACACTCATCGAACCCAGGTGAAGAACCACTGCACCAGACGCTGGCGTCACCCAATTATCTGATGGCAGGATGCCGTGTCGCTGTTCAAAAGCTCACTCAGCTGTCAAAATATCCTGCCTTGACTGCATTCTGTACAAAAGTGCATACAGCCCCAGCAATATCCCACCTTTTCTGGATTCTATATGAAAGGGAGAGGTTTAAAAAAAAAAGATCCTTCTCCTTGTTCAAAATATATATATATATTGTTCTCCTTGTTAAGGCCACACAATGGGCTGGTGTTGACAAAATATCTGACAGCAGGCTGCTGGGATGCTGTACGAAATCACACCTACGTTATGGAAATATACCGCCCTTGCAGGGTTCCGCAAGAAAAGCAAGTCAGATGACGATCGTATTTTCTCTTCATCTGTATGTGTGCACGCATCATCGTCGGTACCATCATCATACAAACAAGCCATCAAATCGTGCCATCAATCAATCAGCGTGGGTGCGCGCGCACGCAAGACGCCGCACTACACAGAGCCTCCGACGGGCCCGTGCTTGCATGTATGTGCGTGGAGACTGACCAATCAGCGTGACGAAAATGAAGAGGCGCAGGGCCGCCAGGTCCGCTGCAGTCCACCTCATCATGATCTTCCTCAGCTTCTTGTGTGAACGCACCGCAGCCTGCTTCAGCCGCGCGTGCGCAGTGTGGACACACTCGTTCTCGAGCGAGGGGAGAGAAAACTGAGGTGTAGTTCACATGAAAAGCCACTAGAGGATGCCGTTGCTCGGCTCATTTTTCAACATACAGTATGCGCATATTTATTTGTTTATTTATTTAGTTTAAAACTGTTCACATTTTTAATCGGGTTTAGCTTCAGCCGCGCGTGCGCAGTGTGGACACACTCGTGCTCGAGCGCGGGGAGAGAAAGCTGAGGTGTAGTTCACATTAAGAGCCACTAGAGGATGCCGTTGCTCGGCTCATTTTTCAACATACAGTGTGCGCATATTTATTTAGTTGTTTATTGATTTAGTTTAAAACTATTCACATTCTTTTAATCGGGTTTATTTTTTTTAACTAAAGTACACCGAAAGCGCTAACTGAAAAAAAAATGACAACAATTGTCGGTAAGTACTGTAATTCAGGTCAAACGGGGCTTCATTGACATGCACCGTAAATGTGAGGATATAAAAACAAACAATCAAAACGGAATTAGAAGTGCGGACAGCCTGGGACGGCTTCCCACTCAATGAAGATGTGGGTGTGAATGGTTGTTTGTCTGTATATGTGCTCCGCAACTGACAAGCGACCAGTTCAGGGGTGTAGCCCGCCTTTCTATTTTTAACATTCCAGAAGTGGCAAACAGCAGCATGAAGAGGCGGGGCGGAGGAAACGATATTGTTTCCTCCTGCGACCCAGAAAATAAGATGGACGTAAAAATATGTCTTCTCGCTATAATTTCCTTGAAAAAAATCTTTAATTCTTCCATATAGTGACTTGAGTTCTTTCTTTGTTGGCAGTTTATTTTATTTTATTATTTTTGAAACAATCCGGAAGTGATGAGAAAACAGCAGCACGGGTTGGGTGAGTACCTCACGTGATAGACACGCCCCTCGTCTCCTATTGGGCCTCGCTCGGCAGTTTTGGCGCCACTCGTGAGCGGAAGTGGAGCTAGGTCGTCTGAGCCACCGGACAAGGGTAGTGTTTTTGTTTTGGTTTGCTTTCATTTCGGGGAGCTTTTTTTTTTGTTTGCTCCTTTTCTTCCATCTCCTTCGCTGCGGCCACCACGAGTTTGCCGGTCGCGATAGTCACCCGGCCAGCCACGATGCGGGGCGACGAGTCGTCCGATTCAGAGTCGGGCCGCATGGAGGAGAGCGTCGCGCGGAGGAGTTTGGAGACGCTGTGTCAGGAGCTCAACATGGACGAGCGCACGGCGACCGAAGCCATGGACAACTTCACGGCCATCTGGAACACGTACACGCTGGAGGTAAGTTGCGGGGCGCTCCTTGAACTCTGACAGCTTCCGCCTCACCAGGCAAACAACAACGACGACAACGCTGCGGGTGACGTCGAAGTTTGGGCGTTCCGGTTCGCGGTCTGTTGGACGTCCAGACGTTGCCTTTTACTTGAACAGGCGATTGGAGTCCTTTACGGCTAAACTATAACATATTACGACAGATTTTGGGAGTGCATGGCGTTTTTATAGCGTTTCAGATTGTTTATAAGTTCAAACTGTCGATGAAGGCAGCACTTGACGTCACCGACCTTTTGGAACCATCTATTGATTAACGTGACGGACAGTTTGATAGACACTTCTGAAATAAAATAGTTGCTCAAATTAAATGTAATAATGTTATCATCGCATGATATGGTTAATAAGAATCAATCCTATTCACTCAATTGAAGACTGTAAACTTTTTCTCAGATCAATATGCAACACCATTTCCTTCTAGAAATTTCTGCCATTGTTTAAATTTTGAAATGATCACTTTTTAAAAATATAATGCAACACCTTGGTTATTGATCCTTTATTATTATTATTCATTTATTCAAATTTCAGTATTTTAAAATCGTCTGGGTTGAATTTGACCCCATAAAATGAAATTCCACAACAACCAACTCGATGTCAAGGATTCTATGAAGAACCTGCCTGCGATGGCCCCCAACCTGCTTTGTTCTGATCAATCTCCTCAGGGGCGTGTTCTTGGCTGATGCTCGATCGCCTGTGGTTGCAGGACAGTACCGCGTTGTTTCTTGTATTTGTGTGAAAGTGATTGTGAGTTGTTGGGTGGATGTGTGCGTGCGTACAGGGCGAGGTGGTGCACTGGTTGGCGTGCTCGCTGTACGCGGCCTGCAGGAAAGGAAGCACGCCCACGGTGGGCAAAGGCCTGATGGAGGGAAACTGCGTGTCGCTCACCAGGATCCTGCGCACCGCCAAACTCAGGTGCGAAAGGACAACGCCAACACACCTCCAAAAAGTTCACACAATTCCAGCCTCGATTCTATAAAATTTTAGGAGGAATGAGAACACAGTTGCAGTTTCTTGATAAACAGTGTTTATTAAAACAACAATTTAGATGATTTACAAGGATTAATACAAGGCCAAAGGCGTTATATTTTGAAGTTTCATGACAAGATTTTTTTGGGGAAAGCGATCATTTTAGCAGATTAATTTTTTTGAAAGAGTATTGAAAATAAAAGTTGTATTTTCATCGAAAAAAACTCATAAAATTATGATCAAAATTAGGATTAAATTGCAGTCCTTCAAAAAAAAAAATCAGCAGATTAAAGTTGTATAAAGTTGTATTGTAAATTATCTTCTGAAATGTTAACATTGTGAAATTGGGATATTTTTTTTAGCAGAAGAAAGTATCCTTCATGTTACATGGATATAATTTTATAAGCAAAATAAACCATCTTGTGGTTCTGGTAAAAATAAAAAACGAAATAAATGTTGGACTTTTCATGCATCCGGCAGCCTGATCGAGTTCTTCTCCAAGATGCGCAAGTGGTCCGACATGTCCAATCTGTGCGAGAACTTCCGCCTGCGCATTGAGCGTCTGGAGCGCAACTTTGAGGTTTCCACCGTCATCTTCCGCAAGTTCCAGCCCATCTTTGCCGCCATGTTCCGCAGCCCGACGGGCTCCGAGGCTCCGCCCCCTCCGCCACGCCAGCCCCGCGGCCGGAAGCACCGGCGGCTGCCCTGTCACACTGCCGACGTCTTCAAATTCTGCTGGACGCTCTTTGTGTACACCAAAGGTGGGCCGCCGAACCTCGACTCCTTCACTTGTCGGCCATTCCCGTGAGAGGTGCTTTTTGGCCGCTGATTAATGCGAAGGGCTTCCGCCGTGATAAACACTTCTGAAAGAACGCGTTTGATCAAATTGCTCCGGATTCGAGTCTTTACATGGAATAGACATTGTACTTGTCTATATTTCTACTTCTACACCAGGTAACTTTCACATGATCGGTGACGACCTGGTGAACTCGTACCACCTGCTGCTGTGCTGTCTGGACCTGGTCTTTGGAAACGCGCTGATGTGCGCCAACAGGAAGGAGCTCATCAATCCCGCCTTCATCGGTCAGAAACGCGCGCTGTCGCCGTCGGCATCACTTCATACAAAAACTTGTGACGTTCAAGTACATCATCGGGCATTTCTAAAATCAGTCAGTGAGCGAGCCCCTATGGCCCACTGTGATGTCACAGTGGGGCTAATTAACGCAGCTGATTCATTTGGGGGGGCGGGGGTGGATCACCTTTGATCGGCGAGGGTTAGATTCGGGCGTGACAGCGGCAAAACGGAAACAAAATTGAAATATCAACGTGCGTTGCGCTCGTAACGCTTACGTGGTCGCCAGGTACGTCGGGGGATGAAATCCAGGCGTGCGCCGACGAGGCGTCTCCGTGCGTGCTGGAGAGATTGTGCGAGCTCCACGACGGCCTGGTGGTGGAAGCCAAAGGCATCAAACAGCACTACTTCAGGCCTTACATACACAAGCTCTTTCGCAAACAGGTACACAAAGCCACTTCCTTATGTCGTGCCCCTGCAAATGTGTCTTAACTTCCCCTGTGGTCCATTCGCTCTCCTTTTGTCCCACCAATGGCTCCTCATGTGTCCCAATGACTCTTATTGAGTTCCAATCACGTTTCTCTATCCAGAGTATCCCATGATATGATGCGGCATGATGTTCCATCGCGCTCCATTGTTTTTGTCCACTTCCGGTCACCGTTGTCATGTTTTCACTGTCTATGTCTTTGATTGTGTGTGGCCTTAAAAGGCGAGGCTTGCTCTGTTGAGTGGGAGTCAGTCAGTGAGCGTTGAGTTGGCTGTTGTTGGCCCAGGACAGCAGCTGGCTGTTGGAAAAAAAAAGATTTTTTTAAATCGTCAATCTAAAATCCAATAATGTCCCATTTTAAATCCGTGAGGCAGGGAAAAGAAGTTTGGTCTGGTGAGGGATGACTTGACGTTGACTCATACGCCTCTCGGAGCACAAAGAAAGAATCTCTGACTTGATTTTCTTCCTGACCAGATACTGAAGGGCAACGAGGATCTTCTGACCGAACTTTTGGATCCTCACAACTTTATTGACAACAAGTAAGCTGATGCTTGTCGTGGTTTTGCGTGAGGGGCTTCTGACACCTTCCTTTGTTTTTGCTCATCAGCAAAGCGCTCAATCGCCAGTACGAGGAGTACGTCTTGACGGTCGGAGACTTTGACGAACGCATCTTCCTGGACGACGATGCCGACGAGGAAATCGGAACGCCCAGGAAAAGTTTGCGCTGGCCCGCGGGCGTAGGCACGGCACAGGCCACCGGCGCTCAGGCACAATTGCAGCATCACGTTGAGAAGGTAAAATGCGGCGTGTCGCAGTCATCCTGCTGACGCGCGCGCAAATGCGGCATGCTAACAGAACGGCGCTGTTGCTCGCTGTAACAGGAGCACACTGATGCAAATGAGTAGCTCGTGAACATAAACGCGCTGACGCCATCAAGTACGTGCTATTGCTAACGAGAATAAATGCTAACAAAATCACACCGGTTCATGAGAGCAGATGCTGACAGAAAGACACCGGGGATCATTCGAACAGGCACGTACCATTGCGAATGATATTGCGTGCAAACAGAATCGCACTGACACCAACTGAGAAGTTTAATGGGGCTAACTGGAAAAAGAACACGCCAGTGTGAATGAGAACATACTGACAGTCGTGGAAACACACTTGCACTCATTAGATCAGAACCCCATTGATGCGAACGGGAAGGTACTGACTAACTCGGGACAGGAACTCAGTCATGCTAATGAGAACATTCTGAGGGTAGCGGAATCACGTTAAGGCCGACAGGAACGCAGCAGTGCTAATGATCGCAAATGCTAACTGAACGTCATCGAGGTAAATGGAAACAGGCACTTACTGACGCTAATGACAATGAGCGCGAACAGAATCGGGCAGCCGCCAATCGGAACGGGACCCGCCCCGCAAATGCGAATCAGACATCACTGACGCTAACAGAAAAGCACCGAGGCTAACTTGAATAGAAATGCATGACTGCTAATGCTAAAGAATTCGAAGGTGCGTCGCTAACAGGAAGTGTGTGCGCAGTCGGCCTCCCTGGCGCCTTCGACGCCTCTGACGGGTCGGGCGTACCTGAAAGAGAAGGACGTGCCGGTGACGCCCGTGTCGTCGGCCACGCAGAGCGTCAGCCGTCTTCAGAGCATGGTGGCCGGGCTCAGGAGTGCGCCCAGTGAGCAACTGCTGCGCATCTTCAAGTAACGTTGCTTTTCTTTCGATCTGAGTTTGACAAAAAAGTGCTTCAAATGATGGGTGGAAAACTGTTTTGGACTTGAGGTCATGCTCTCGAGACCCCACCGAGTCCATCGTGAGCCAGGTGAAGATGCTGGGACAGACCTTCAAAGAACACTACACCAACGACTCGGATCACTCGTCGGGGTCACACATCGGTACGCGCGCACATGGGGAATTTGGATTACTTGTATTACTCTAAATTTTGACAGCGATGTTTTCAATGAAACTGCAAATGAATATTGGCCCCAAATATGGGGCATCGGTGTTGGTGACTATCGGCCCATCGCCAAAAAAATATTAGAAAATATGCCCTTGAAAAGAAATAGACATATTTAACCTCATTTACCCAACAGACAAAATGCCTGCAAGTGCATCTGGGGGTATGTAATCTTCATTGTGTGTGTGTGTGGGCAGATTTTGCTGAGAGTCGCCTGAAGCTAGCTGAAATTCTCTTCTACAAAGTTCTGGAAAACGTCTTGATGCAGGAGACCAAGAGGCTGCAAGGGAAAGACATGAGTGTAAGTGTGTGCGCTCTCACACACACACACACACACACACACACACATACACACGCGCGCGCGCTAGTATGCTTTTCGCTGCCCTGAAATTCAGGTTTGCAAAGCACAATGACTAATGGATGCCAGTGGATGGTGGCGTTGCATTTTTTAAATTGGGGATGCACTGCGCAGCTTTTGAGTGGAAGATAAAGATTGGGCACCGAATCTCGGATCGGCATGTTGTTTGCGAGAGCGAGAAATGGCAACTCAGAAGTTGGACAAGTTTAGGCAGGTGACACTTGAACAGAGAACGCGTGTGTGTGTTTGTACGGTAGGAAGAGCATATGCATTGTGCTGGCTAGTTGAATGTGTGTATCGTGGGCATGAGAAAAGATGAATCTATACCCGGAGTGAATAGTGAATGCCGTGTAAAAAAAAAAGTGTAAATTTTTGGGGGTGTATGTGATCTAAATCTCTTCAATCCTAGCACCCAAGTCATTGTTCTGCTTGACATGTTTCTTGTCAAAAAATTGTTTCCTCCACTTTTTATTGAGAAACTGGTGTTTTTGGTGCAACCATCCTGTGTTCTATTGGTGATGACTTCATATTATAATATGATATGACGTGCGCGCGCGGGTGTGTGTGTGTGTGTGTGTGTGTGTGTGTGTGTGTGGCAGGTTCTACTGGAGAAGGACATCTTCCACTGTTCCCTTCTGGCGTGTTGCTTGGAGGTGGTTTTGTTCTCCTACAGCTCCCAGCGGACTTTCCCGTGGATCATTAACGTCTTCAAGCTGGCCCCCTTCTACTTCTTCAAGGTCTCGCACGTATCCACGCGCGCGCGCACACACACACACACACACACGCACGCATGTGATATGACAGCTTTGCCGATGTGCGTGCGCAGGTGATTGAGGTGTTCATCCGCTCCGAGGAAGGCCTGTCCCGAGACATGGTCAAGCATCTAAACCTGATCGAGGAGCAGGTGTTGGAGAGCCGAGCGTGGACCGCAGACTCTGCCCTGTGGAACGCCTTGAGTGCCGCCGGCAATAAGGTGCCCACCGTCGAGGAGGTCAGTGCAACGCCGCAAAATTCCCCGCGAGCGAAAATGACATTTATTAGTCCCACGTCAACAAAAATGTGGGCTAGGCAAATAACTTTCCTTGACCACGGACCGCTGGCGATTGACTGGCCGCACGCTTTGGAAATGTTTTTCGTTCCTTGCTTCAGGTGAACTTCCCATCCAGTCTGGACTCCGGCGGTTCGGCTTCCGCCGGTGGCGCCCAGTCCCAACTTCCCCTGATGACACTGTCGCCCATCGTTCACCCTCGGATCAGAGAAGTCCGCTCAGGCGTGGGCAGCATGCGGAAAGGTAAACGTCCGAATGCCTGTTAACGTTCCTTGTCTTTGTCCAAGGCCCGCCTGATATTGCCAAATTTTGCTGTCCGCCCGGCAAAATCATTTTGCTTCATCGAAGCGATCCGTTGTTCATTTCCCAAACTTTGTTCTGTTGTTCCCCGCAGAAGTTCCGCCGTCCCCGCTGTCGGTGCACGAGCGCTACAGCTCCCCGGCCGCCGGCAGCGCCAAGCGCCGCCTCTTCGGCGAC